GTGGTGGTGGTGGTGGTGGTATGTGGTGGTCGTGCTGATGCTGCTGATGCTGCTGGTATTGTTGTTGTTGTTGTTGTTGTTGCTGTTGTCGCTATTGTTGTTGTTTGTTGTTGCTGCTGCTGCGGGCCGCGGGCCGCGGGGCCGGCGGGCGGGGGGCCGCATGGCCACGTGGCCGCGGGCTGCGTGGCCGCGGGCCGCACGTAAATATTACTATCTTGGCAGACTTGTAAGCCCTTGGCCTCCGTTATTCGTGACTGCGCGGAGATGTCCAGGTTGAGACTCTCCAATGTCGACGATCCACCCAGGAGGCCAGCTGCCAAGGCACCAACTCCTGCACAATCACCGGAACGGCCGGATTCAAGCTTCCCTTGCAAAGAACTGATTCTATGTCCTATGTCATCATAACAAAGCCTGGAGCTCGAAGAATACAGTTCAGTGATCAGACGAGCCGGGCAAGACGGGACTTGATCCCTGGATGATGTCTCGGCTCTTGCATGAACCCTAAACCCTACACCCTAAACCCTAAACACCTAAACCCTAAACCCTATGCCACAGCATTCCGGACTGCAGAGGTCTCTCACCCGTACGGCAGGCGTTTCCACCATTCGGAAGGCGGCTCAAAAGCTCGGACTAGCTAGCCACGAGCGTGGAGAAATCCGGAAACTAATAAGAAAATCAAAAGAACTCATTCAGACAAACACGTACCCAAGAAATCTCAAGAAAACAGCTGTGGAAAACACGATAAACAAATCCAGTAAAAAGTCTGGCAGAAATAACCCCAAACTCTGCAACCATCAACTTGAAACGTCCTTTCTGCTTCCCGAATCGTCTGGACCCCTCGGCTTGTCCGAATGGGCCGGGAGCGGAATTCGTTTCTTGAATCTCCGGGTTGTTTTCGGAGCGACAATTCTGCGCGCTTAGACTGGGTGCATCTGGGTCCGTTTGCACTGTGTTGCTTCAGCTGAGAATGCTCGGGCATCCCAGGTCCCAGGCGACATTTACAGATGTGAGCTATGCAAAGGTTGCCCCAGGAGCGAGACCTGGTTGAGATGCCGAGTTGAAAGATAGCTTAACATACATACAGCTTACTACAACATGTCATGATGCCCCCCCCCCCCTCCAAAAAACAACTGAGTTCAGGAAAACCCTTCAAACGGGCTCCGTCCTTCGTCAGACAGCTGCGGGCCCGAAGAGAGCCGAAGCTCTAGTCGCCGCAGCCGGGTTAAGCTTCCGAGTGCAGAACCCAAGGCCACAGCTGCTACGTCCTTGGGATGGGGATGCAGGGGCACATCATAAACGGGCCTACCTCCACAAAATGTGTAGATCGCTTATGATAGATACAGACAGACAGACAGACAGACAGACAGACAGACAGACAGACAGACCGACAGACAGACAAACAATGTGTGCATGTGCTAGTGTTTATCTGTACATGCACAGACTTAAGCACACCATGGAGAAGTTTTCTGAGCAACTTAGAGATTCACGGCAAAGGTCGTTCTGCTTGTCTTTGCCATAATTACTCCTTCATGGCTGTCACCAACTCAGCGCTGCCAGGGATCCGACAGTTGACGGCAACCCTGGAAACCGAGGAACAGGTCTTGAAGCGACTCGAAGGGCAGACTGCATGCCAGGAGAGCCTCAGGCCCAGACGCGACAGCCTAGCTCCACCGTCTCTACCGTCGCCACTGCGAAGGACCAGTGGCACTAGAGCTAGCACTGCAAAGGTCCTGAGGCACCTCCTGCAGGAACTTACTTGCGCGGCAAAAAATTAAACCATCTCGCAGAGAAATGCAGCATGTAAGCTACATGCAGCTAAGAAGCAACATGTTCATCTTTAAGGTTCTTCTGGCAGTCGCCACCTGCAGCTCTCTGCAGTACTGCAAAGTAGTACCCTATGAAGCCGCTGAGAGAGTAAATTCCCAGAGCGTTCGCGGAGTCTTTAAGAAGCAGAATCTATCGAGAACTCCTTGCTGCTTGAACAGGTTCTGAGCGCCATGTCGTCTGAAAATTCGAAGGAAACCACACCCTAAGACCCGCACCAAAGTGAAGGGTCAGCTGGTGCAAGCGCGAGCGAGAAAGTGCTGCAGCGTGTCGCGACAGATTCGTGCCAACAGCAGCAGCCTTGACGAAGGAGGCTGCCTTGTCAGGTGCGACGGCAGTGACCTCCGAAGATAACCATTCAACAAAAGCTTGCTAGGTGGTCCAGGAGACGGCAAAACGGCCATGCAGCACGTCATTCAAGGCTGCGTATCCTGCCCGAAGGCAATCAACAGTGGCTGAAGAGATCGAAATTAGTGCACTTGCCCTGCAAACTGCAGCGACAAATAGCTGAAGCAAAACAAGATAAGCTCCGATGCGAGTTGCTGTCAGCTTGCCTTCGTGTTCCAAAGCAGGCGCTTGGCTCAGATCAGCAGCCTGCGCAATCCTCAGCATTGCAGCCGGTACCCACGTATCCCACATTTCAACACCCCCAAAACAGTGGTCTCCGTTGCGAAAGCATAGATGCTCTATTGCCCCGTTCGACTCGGAAGCTTCGCCAGGGACCTCCACTCAGCCCTTTACTCAAAGGAAGGCTCCCCTTTCTAAAGGAATCCCAAAGAGGAACCGAAGCATGTCGATGCCCAGCGACGAATTCAATATCATTCTCCGGTCGCTTTCCCGAGTAGCTTCGGCATGCTCCACCCGGATGTCCTTGCAAGACAGTCGTCAAAAATGCTGTCGCTGCTTAACTGGCCGCCAGACTCGGCAAGTTAAGCATGCAGCCTTTACAGAATTGCCACCTGGGGTATTCCACTTTCACATGTCACCTCACACAACAACCACCTTCAAAGAAATTTTGTCTGAGGCCGAGTCGAAAGCTTTCATGATAAGCTCGAAGGGAAACCGGCTTTCCCGATGCCGCTTGCGCCGAGCTTGCTTTGGGCCGGTGCCATCCGCCGCAATGAAGCCCTCAGCGATCCCGATTGCATCTTTCTGCTTGGGGTCGTACGTGTAGATGTCGAAGTAATAGGTGAAGCCATCCAGACCTACCGATAGGGTGGTCGCTACTGATATGCCAAAAGCATAGCGGCAAAATATGACTTCCGAACGACACTTCCTGACATGCTGTGGGGTGCTTCGACATGGTAGAATCGCCCTGTACATCTCTTGCGGCCACATTCGTCTGTCCAGCAGCCGATTCGGGTAACAAATACTCCACCACTCATATGTCACGGCTCTTGATTTATTGACGACACGGTGATGCACCAGACATGGTTTGAGACTGCACAAATGTGTTGGAAAGAAAGTGCCTGTGTGCATCCCGTGCACGACACTCAAATCCTTCAAGCCACCGATGCGAAGTCACGCGAAGACCGGCCAACGAAAAGTCTCAAACACTGCATGCGACTTCAATGTCAGGGATGCGACAGGCATCAGGCATGCGCAGCAAGCTTTTGAATAATGCAGAGACTGCCCTGCGAAGTCGCCACATGTTGCATCCGGCTGGCCTTTCTCGCCAGTTACCTGCTTCAAGGTTGAGATGTAGGTCTCATAGATGCACCAGACACGCCTGGATCACCGGAGCACCAAAGGCTGAGGTTGTGTGAAGCGACAGTGTCATGCAGGTGGGCGCTGAACTACAAGAACTATCTCCGTGTGGCGCGGTGACATACATGATTTGCTGTGCGAACGGCTTGACATGGGTCTTACCAGGCACTACTTCAGCTTCTCTTGCTGCTTCAACAGGAACATGCAACTACGTCCTGTTGTGCACGAAAGACTTGCATGAGCACCGTGCATCATCCGCCAATGAAACATTATTATGTCATGCTTCATTCCGTCGAACACTTTCCATCCAAGTCGTCCTCCTCCGTCCACTGTGATTTTGAACGGCTAGGAACTCAGTAGCTGTCTCTTGTGTTGCTGGTTCCGGCATGCTCAATTCGAATGAAGCACGTGTAGCACACGGCGTCTCTGTCCAGGATGGACACGGTGCCAGCCGCCCTCCCCATGGCTCGCTGGAAACCTGGGAGCTACAGCTAACAAGCACTGCTCTCACACACAGCATGCAGCCACAAAGCTGCTCGTCGCTGGGTCTGCGCCAATCTCTTGATGCACTGCCCACTGGTTGTTTGCATAAGCACAGACCTCAGTACCATGTTGCTGTCTCCTAAGGTCCTAAGGCTTCAGCGCATCATTCGACCCGCTCATCCTCACACGCATCCAAGACACCCAGTAAGCTGCATCCTTCTGGAGATTGCCTGGCTTTATAAAATGTCACGGGGAGGGGGGGGGGGGGCACTATATCCTGCAGAACTCTTGGCCTGGCACCTTGACCTTGGCTTGGCTTCTGGGCTGCGGTTCAGTCGCGGTCATGCAGGTGCTGCTTCAAGCACAACGCGAAGTCCACGACAGGCTCGCCCCACCTCCAAGCCGGAGGGCTGGCCAATCAAACTAATTCGTCACCATCAGAGCTTCAGAACGAGCCGCCAGTGAGAAACGAACCAGTCACATGGCTGAGGCGCCTCCTTGGCGACTGGTAGCATGCCAAAAAAATTCTTCCGATCAATCTGCACCCGGAGACTCTACACGAGCTGCTGACAAGTCTGAGTCTGTACTGCATGGCTAACATCTTCGGAGTTGGCGGTGTCAGTCACACTGGTCACCGAGTCACTGCCACAAGCTCCACGAAGCTGCAGGCACGGGCAGCGGTGGCCTTGCGATGCCAGAAATGTCACTTCACAATTCTTGGCATTATGCGAAACAGCCCTGCAAAAAAAAAAGCCCGAGGCACCGGTCGAACCAGTAGGTCCACAACATGATACCTTAACTTCCCCACTGCTCATCATTGCTCTGTCTTGGCTGCCAGAGTTGCAGACTTCCGTGGCTTCCGATGGCGTCACGGCATGGGGAGAACACAGATTACCCATATCCAAGAGGCAAGTTGACCTGCGGAGGCGTCAATGGCCTGCCTGGTCCCAGAAACAGTGCAGCATGCACAGAGATCGGTAGGCAGTTAAAACATAAAACCAGATGATGTCACAGTTTTCACTCAAGTATGCTTACTTTACTACGCGATACTGTACTGTGTACGACTTCATTGAATGGTGTTATATGGTGTTTTATTCAGTGTATTGTAGTATAATACAATAACCAGACTTCCACATTTTATCTTATCTTATTCTCTATTAACGGTACAGTACTGTGTCGCATTAGATTGTACGTGTACGGTATTGTATCAGAAACCACACATTCATGTACGCGCAAACAAGCAGGCATTCAGACAGGGGCGTTGACAAGGCCTAGAGTATGGTATGACAGAGTAAACCGGAACATAACATAACATAACATATCATGGCACCGTCCAATAATGTGTTAGAATATGGTATTCACGTATAAAATGACTGAATATAACATACTGAAAACATAAGAAAGTACAGTAGAACTGGCTAGATCGGAATAGCAGTGCAGATACTTTAAACGAAGAGAATGGAATCCAAGATAAGACAAGCTGATATAAACTAGGGAGAACGAAATAACAAAACGTAAGATAATGCCATGTGCCATATGATAGAAGATATAGCAACAGTATTATACAGATTGATACAAGCGACATAGTAGGACACAATGCGATACAACACAGGATGAGCTGATGAAACTCGTATGAGATATAATGAAATGCAAGCCACTGCAATGCCCTGCAATATAATGAGAAGCCATGTCATTTATATAGGTTGAAGTATGATATAACACAACCCCAAATAGTAAAACAAAAAATGACAGAACCAATATCATGATCCTCTGTCCTACCGTGCCTGTCAACTGTACCACAGGCAAAGATAGACGCGGTCATTTATGCAAATATACTTATGACATATACATACGCAATGTGAGGATTAGGATGGGCTGGAATGCCGCTGCACGGAGTTCAGTATGTTGAGGCTCCGGCTGTTGTTCGCTTTAACCCTTTTGCATTCCCACCCTGCAATGCTTCTGCGAGCACCTGAAGGATCAACCCAATCGCGGTTGCAACCTGAGCTTGAAAAGCAGACCGAATCGTGCTGGATAGGCCACCACTGCAATGGCTGAGAAAGAAATCCTGCGAAGGGTCAGTGCATGCGCCAATATAACAGCCTACCACTGTGAAAAAAATGCTATATCAGAATTTATCAGTATTCTCGTGTTGGTCGCCAAGATGCCTTGGCAAAGGCATGATATTACGAGGTTGAGCTGGCGCATCTGCATGGCCCGCTCCTGCCACAGACAAGATCTGGTCGAACCTTCTTCAATTTTGGCCTGCTGTGGTGCCGCCTATATACGTCTGCATGTATGTGCGGATGTGTACATGTATATATGCATGGATGCATCCATGCATGTATGTCTGTGCAAGTATGCAACTCTGTAGATACATCGCTCACGCCTGCATTTGCAGCTGCATGTACAGACACACACACAGAGATAAGCAAACAAACGACATACGAACATATTGCTTGCATACAACCAACATCAATGCGTACATGTATCCATCCGTCCATCCATCCATCCATCCATCCATGCGTTCTTGCCAGCATGCATACATGCTCACATGCATACATCCAAGAATGTATGCAAATACGAGTTCACATACACGTCTCTGTGTGTCGGTCTGACTGGCCACCTGCCCGCCTGCCTGTCTGTCTCTGTATGTATCAATGTATGTACGAGTGACGCCAAAGCACTACATACACCTTTACACGCGGACCTATATTCAAGATGTATCTCTTTTATGTACATGTGTGGGCGTGCCACCGCCGCCGTCGACGCTATCACCAGCACCAGCACCACCCTCCCCACCCGAACCCATCGCGAGAGAGAATTGTCTAGGAGATCTGCACAGTTCTGATATCCGTCATTGCCAAGTGCACGGATCCCTGCTAAGCTCAAAGCCATTAACCATCGTCCGTGCTAACCATCATAACATCACAACATGTTCTTGTGTGCCACATCAGAATCCGTATCCAATGCCAACTATCCAATCAAACGCCACATAAATTCGGATGACCTGAGCCTTCCAGCACGGGATTCAGACAGGAAGGAGGAGTAAGAGCTCGTGCACGGTACAGTGCGCTAGTTTGCTATCCCCCAACCTGAACCGTCCCTTTATGATTGACCACGGTCCTTCTAAATTACTCGACGAACAAGACGAGTGTTATTCTCCTTACCAACATCCAAACTATAGGATACTAAGATTCAGAAGCCATTGTCTTGCATGCCTCAACAGGAAGGAATTAAATCAGTTGAAGCCCCTGAAATCCTTATAACCATCTTTGCACAACCCTGACATTACTCCCTGCCCGACTCCACAAGTCCAAAACCATTTTCAATGACAACCTGCAAAAGTCTAGCATCTCTTGTACTCCCTCTGTTCTTGCATCAATCATCACCACTACTACCGGCACCACCGCGAGGATCACTCAAATGCCCCAGTGGGTGGTGCTGCAGGCTTTTTGGTTTGGTGCATGCCAGGTAGAAAGCACAAGACTGTCTTTTCACCCCGGGATCGAAGCAAGATGTCCATGACATACTCTATGCAAAGGAGGTGACAGTGACAGGGGGCTCCCATCACTTGGCTCCGTTAATCCGGCTCAGTATGCTCAGATCATGGCCCCTCTCGAAAATTTGAAGATCACAGGCTCCACGACCCACGGGTCAAAACAGCATGAGAAACCAATAACAAACAGCGAAGGACGAAACCTCATAACCCACACTCCCTCTCTGCGTGTGTGCGTGTGTGTGCGCTGCGTGTCCTCGACCCTGGGAATGCTGCACCCAGCAGAGAAGTCACGCAACAGATCATCCATCCAACCATCGTGGCCTTCAACCTGCCCAAGTGTCGAAGCACATATGCTAGAGTCGTGAGACCTAAACATCAAAGCTACCTGAGCCACACAGACTGCGGTGATTTTGCTCTCCCTTGATGGGGCCTGACTGGGCAAGCAGAGCTCCGCTGCCTTGGTTTCATGTACAGAGATCTCTGATCGCATGTAGAGACTCGGGGCGAAGTCACTTGCCTCGTCCCGTGTCATCACGGAGGTAAGTGGAAATTCCTCCTTCTCTCCATCGGGGCCACACTGACATCCGCCCGCCTGACAATACGATTGGGCAGCTCCTACGCACTGAACTCACCAGAATCGAGCCCGGATCCGACCTCAGCCAGGGACCTCCATAGCTTCGAACAGTCTACGTGGCCGGCCTGGAGGACAAGAACTCTGAAACTGGCGACGGAAATGCTGGGAAGGCCAGAGCGCCTGGTCTTCGAAGGCCGAGAGCATCAAGCTAAGCTCCGGCAGCACTGCCTCCGCGAGGCCCAGCGCCAGGAAAAGATCGCAGAGCTCCTGAGATTGCTGGCCAGGCATGTGAAAGCACGACCCCTCCCCGGAATCTTCGACGTCGCGTTGCGCTGAGGCTGACAATGCAAGGCTAGACTCGAAGCTCCACCATGACAGGACACTAAATACAGGACCCTTAATATACCCTCATAGTAACTTAGCACCCTACACCCTAAACCCTAAACCCTCAACCCTGAACCCTGAACCCTGAACCCTAAACCCTAAACCCTAACCCCTAAGCCCTCTCACACAACTCTACGAGCTAGGCCTGCTTTGACCACGGCCCCGTGTGGTCCAGCGCTTCACCCGCACACTCCAGGCGCGCATCCATGGCAGATCGTGTGGCTCATTGTGGGTCCGTGGAGTCTTGCCTGTCGTGCTTTGAGTGATGATCTGTAGAGCGCTCTAATCCTCCATGCTCTCCATCGGCCGTCTTCCTGTTGTTGGTTTCCGTTTTTCGACTCGACGAGCTATTTCGGAACGGAAGATCTGTGACGATAGCGATTCTGAATGAACCCGATCGCAGTCGCAAGGCAGGGCTTTCGCGCCTTTCGCAGGCGAGGGACTTTACAGCTGAGTGCAGGACAGCACAACTCACGCATGCGGGATGGCCTAGCTGGGCCTTCCCTTCCACCTCTCCATCCTGGCGCTGATGCCCAACTTACGCACAAAGCAGCATTCCTTCACATGATGCTTAGTCTCGTAGTGCTTCTTAGCCAGCTTCTGGGCAGACAGTACATCTGCCGAACTTGAAATACTTGAAGGAAAACGCGCAGGGCAGGCGATCCCTATTGTGTGATAGACCGTCGGCGGTCTCACCTCAGTTCTCCAGTGGAAACACCCCGACACCCTTAAGAACTTTGGCTTCCCTGTCTTTTCTGGTTGCGCTTCTCACTCACTCCGAAGGCGAGGTGCTGAGGCTGAGGTCCTGACCTCCAAGATGAAGGGACACCCGGTCAAGTCCTCGCAGCGAAATCGAATGCGCTCCGATGAGCTCAACTTACCTCTTCTCCTTTTCGCGCTCGTCTCCACTGACCCATGATTCAAGTGAGAGTGGGCTAATCGGAGATCGGGCGAATGCTGCGGAGCCGGATGGAGGTGACCCTTTTGGCCTCATCGGCACCTTCTGGTCCGATGGAAATCTGCAGACTGAAGCCTGAGATAAAGGCCCAACTGCCGGCTACAGCATTGGCAATTACTTTAGACTCGTGTTCCACCGAAGCGAAGCACCTAAATTTCATGTCTCTGGGGCGCCGGCTGCCAGGCGTTAATGGCAAGAAGGTCACTTTGTACCTGCCGTGAAGCAGACGTAGAAGGATGCCGGATACATGCAAAAACCATGCCCAGACAGCACCGTGGTTAGTCTCCTGCTGTCTCATCGACTTCTGAGGTGCACCTGCCATCTTGTAAATCTTCTACGGCCACATCCTGGAAGTCCTGCAGCTCCACCGCTCTGCTTTCAGGTTCGTCCCTTGTTCAAGCTCAGTCCCAAGCCTGTTGCCACAACACATGAACTGTCAAGCTGACATGGCCAGATGCGACTGATCCAGTCTCCTCCGGGTGGGACAGAGTTGCCACCACTCGATCACCTCAGCAGAGCGGCCATCGCAGTACTTCTCGTTGCGTTGGCACTACCTTGTCACTACTTGTCTGCACGACATGCATCACTGCATATTGAGATTCTCACAGACCCTTGAGGCGAGTGAAGTTGCTAAGAATGGACGCTCTGTGCATTTAGCAGCTCATCCTACTGCAAGTTCTGGTACAAGCACGACCGGTGGCGTTCGCCTCCCTCTGTGCGGCGAGCACCATCTCGATCACACCTGGACATGGAGGTGCGGGCGACGGGCAGCACATTCAGCACATTCCCATGGATAATGGAGGCTCATGTGGAATCCTCTGTCTGCTAGCACAGTAGGCCTTGCGGCTTACTTGCCCGACTTGTATGTCTCTGCCATATCCCTCCCAGGCTCCTGGGAGCGGTGCTCACATCCCTGCTGCGGCCAAGGTGGCCCCCGGGTTACAAGGAGCGGCACATCATGCGCTGGGAGGCCGGCGCAAACACCCACAGGAATGAGGGATTGTTGACCTGGCAATCTGAAAGGATGTATCGCAGCAGATACAGCTGCTCACTCCTGGTGGGTGTCACATGTATCCCGCTTAAGGTCCTCCAATATTATGCTTGAACTCAATAACTGAATCATTTCAAGCCCTGGCCGCGCAGCCTTGAGCACTCCAAGCCCGGGTCCCTGCGCGACACGCAGAGGGCTGAGCTGCTTCGGCACTTCCTACTGCTGCTCGCTGCCCTGCTGCGAAAAGGTCACCTGTCTTTAGGCACTGCAATCTGGGCCTTCGCGAAGCTCATGGAAGCGTAGGTCGATTCTCAGGATTTCAGCAGTCAACGGTGAGTCCGACTGTCGAAATTGAACTCGCCTACTTTATCAATGCCCTCATCGCTGCTTGAAGAACTGAGGCCGATGCTTTCGCCGACCTGGCCCCATTCTGGGATCTTCTCTCCGAAGTCTGTGTCCCCAAGCCTGATGGCACAGCAGACCAAGGTCGTGCGGGCGCGCCGACGCTACGAGCCTGGCCTGAAGCGAACTACTGCGTCTGCACGGAGTAGGAAGACACCTTCCATCGGCGCCCCGTCAGGATCCTCCGCTCACTCGAACTCGATCTGTCTGATGCTTGTGTTTGACCCGGGGTTTCGGGCACTTCAACTGCCTGGCCACTGGCCGGAGCTGATGCCGATGTATAAGCAAGGACGGCATCGCAGTCCTCTTGATTCGGCGCAAACGGACAGACTTGACCTCAGACGATTCTGGAAGATAAACCGCTTCAAGATGAACACCGGCTGCATGAAAGGCTATGCATTTGGCCGAAGTTCCAGCAAGCACCGATGCACCACGAAATCGAAGAGTCGCGCTAGGCACGCGCACTCTTTGTCTTAAATGCACTCATGGCTCCGGACACGTTCTTACACTCGACTGGGACGGCTCCGAGGCACTGACCCTGGATCTCCTGGAGCTGGTTCTCCAACGTCTGACAAAGTTGGAACAAGAGTGTATAGCGACATGGAGGTGCACAGGCTTCAAGAGTGAATTCTGGCCATACAGGCCAAATTGGATGTGTTCACGATCATGGGCAACTACCTAACACTTGTAACATCACCAAAAAGCAACTCTGCTACCACGACTAACACTGCACGGCATAGTACAAGCGCAGCTAGCCTGTCTCGAACTACCCGTACGCGCTGTACCACTACTACTACTACTACTACTACGACGACGACGACTACTACTACTTTTACTTGTACCACTACTATTACTACTACTATTACTACTACTGCTACTACTACTGCTACTACTAATACGACGACGACTACTGCTACTACTTCTACTACTACTACTACTACTACTACTACTACTAGTAGTTGTTGTACTACCACTAGACCGTACCGGTCATACCA